GTAGTGACATTTTCTTCTTCGAGAACATTCCTCCCCACTTACATGTAACAACTACTCGGGGGATTTCTCTGTCACCTGTAATGTTTCTAACCAACTTCAACCCCACTGCTTCAGTGAACTGATTCATGTTGCAGAGTACAAATCTCTGTCACCAATAATGTACTTGCAATCTCCTGAGGAAGGTGCTTTGCTTTGGCCTAAATTCAATCACTAACATCCCAATGTATGGTACAAGTTAACTCTAATCTCTGTCTTCAGGCAAAGTTGGCCAGTAATGAAATGTTATCTCTGTTCATTCGGAGAAACCCTGCTGCACTTCACGATAATGTCCCTCGTGCACAAGGTTCTGTGATCTGGAAGGTAGACTGCCATTGAAGCCAACACAATTACGTACTCGTATACTCCATCAATCCTGACTCCAAACCTCAAACTCAAACCGAATCTGGTTAAACATGTAACAAATGCTCACAAATTTAGCAAACTGAACACTGTACACCTAACAATACTGTCAGAACCATAACAAAAGCAAGCAATGCCCTAAAATATTGCAAATATCCAAACCAGTTTAGTTTTAAGGGCCCTAACATTTTCAGGTCTTTCATGTATATATTGCTGTCATTAAAATGGGTAGCCTGGGTCACAGTGCGTGTACATGTACATCAGGCAAGAAAACAGAGAAAATCGCTGTTTTTTTCTAATAGCAGTATATTCCAAAGAAAGACTCCAACGACCTATGCAGCTGCCTCGTGAAAACAACCTTAAATGATTCATTCATCACAATGTCCTCTACTGGGTGAAACCTCATCACTCCAACACTGTGCCATTTAACTATGACTTATACAGTACATGTACCGGCACATCTGGGTAGGCATTCACCGCGTTCAGGGGACAAGTTCTTTTGTTAGGGAAATTCGAATCGAGTTGTGGGGACATTTCTAAGTCCCCACAATGTTTTCGGTCCCCACAAACAGGTGAAATGTTGAGTGTTCCCACAACTATGGTGCGGCAGAAGGTGTATCGGGAGTTTATAACATTAGTCAAATTACACTTTCACTTGACTTATCTGTACAGTTTTAGTTGTTTAATGTTACTTGCTTGACATGTACATGTATAAATCGGTACATACAAACATGTACTCACATTGTATTAGCTGAAATTCAGTGTTCTGATATTCATCTTTATGCTTACAGGTCTTTTCCATTTGTCTTCAATATCATAAAGATGTATGAACTAATAAAGGTTTTCCAAATTCTGAAAGAACTGGTATTGAAGGCAACATACCAGTAAGCACATTAAAATGCACAGTTGGGGTGCATAGTTTCATGTCTCTGTCACATAGGCACATGTGATTTTGTAGGATTAGAACAAATTCCTTAATTTCTAAGAGTAATTAAGTAATGTAATTACATGCCAAACAAACAAACAAACAAACAAACAAACACCCCAACACCCCAACAAACAAACAAACAAACACCCCAACAAACAAACAAACAAACAAACATAGTTTGAAGTCTATTTCAATGTTATTTCCATGTCAAATTGAATAAGTCAGGGGTAACAGGGCCACCAAAAGTGTCCCACTTTTGGACCTCAAATTTACAGAATGACCATGTAGCCGCAAAGACACTTTGCAAGCAGGTGGAACTGGTTCGAGATTCACTAATGTCTGAGACTGCATCAAGATACCCTCAAGCAAGATGGGTCAAGTGATTCTGGAGACTGGATTTCATCATCACCTGCAGCCTTAAGACATTCAATCCCTAGCTTGCCTGTATAATCTCTTTAATTTCATAATCTTGACATGGTTGTCACTCCGGGCTGCTGGCATATACATTGCAGTAGGTAGTCTTGCCAGTGGACTGATCCCTTTCCCACAAGGCTACATTTAGAAGGAGACGGGGATCTCCGAAGTACACATGACTCCCGCACTACAGGTGCCCTGCACTATGGTGGAACAAGAATGAATCCAGAAATCCCCTCCTCCGAACAGCAGCAGCATTGAAGGACGAGAGCATGACTTTGGTCTTGTGATGGAAAGACTTTGGTCTTGTGATGGAAAGACTTGAGGTCGGGGGGGGGGACGGCAATGGAGAGTTGCTCATGGCCGTCTGAACGGAGCGGCTCTCTGAATGGCCTCCTCTCACCTGCTGCACTGGAGGATGAGGATTGGACTCTAGTCTGAGTGCCTAGAGGGTGAGGGTAATAAGCTCACAGGGTAGAGGCTGAGAGAAGTATTCATCTCTAACCTACATGTACAGGTGTATGCTATTGCCCAAGACTTGCAGGATTGCTGCCAAAATTTGAGGGAAAATCCATTTCATTGCAAGCACTTATACCGAAAGTCCAACTTGAAATACATGTATATGTACAATGTACTGAAGCTCCCCCCTTTAGCACAACTTTGCACTTGTTAAGCAGTTCAAGTGACTTTGGCCCTTACACGTGTACATGTACCGTCACGACAACAGACTGATCCAGTAAGCCCCACCAACCGCACACATGGGTTATTATAAACAGGCACACATCTCCAAAGCAACATTGCATGTTCCACTTGCACGCTGAGATGCACACATTTCAATCTTGTTGTGCATTCATGTTTACACATACATGTACATGACAGCTGTGAATGAGCCCAATGGTTCATGTGCTTAATGGCTTAATCACGATTATACCATTACAGGATGACAGGATTATACCATTACATGTACATGGCTAGAGGGGTGTTTTTCAAAAAAAAAAGCAAAGTTGTTGACCAAATCATTGGAAATTTGTAATTTTTAAACTTGGTCTGACTTTATTATTTGAAAGGTATTCATGAATAACAATGATATACGTGTAAGTACAATGCACACTATGCTTGGCTGGTCTTAAACGGTCAGGAAAATGGACGCTCATAATGCTCTTGTCTGTAGCTCACGCATTAGTTGTGTCCATTCTCCTGAGCCACTGAACATTTAAGATGGGTCAAGCATACATTAATGCCCTTAAGTGAAGTAAGCTTTAAATTATAGCAATGTATTACAATTTTTTAACTGGCATTATAATTATCCGGTTCTTAAGTGTAAAGTCACTTCAGTTTAAACCACGCCCACTGCACACGTGCACTGCACATAGGGTTACATGCATTGATCACTGTTTAAACGGAACCAAGGAACCCGAAGTTAACGTACAACTTCAGCGATCGTCCAAAGGGGGCCTGCAAATTGTGGCACATCCGCCTTTGTGACGAAGTCACTTAGGAACCAGATTGCAGTTCACGGCTTGGATGGGTTTGACATTTATACTGGTACATGTAACTCTGCCTCAATTTAATAATCAATCGTGTACAGCAGGATGCTACATCACAGGTTGAAAATTGGGGGGAAGTACTAACGAACATGCATGCATTTATTTACATGTATTAGCATTAAACTTATGTTTCTGTGAGAGAACACAAATTACATTATACAATGCTTTGTAAAGCTTTATCATAATGTCTGTACACAAGAGTTGTTAGGTACAGGGTAAAAACCACTCTGGAACAAATTCTGAGTCCTCCATAAATCACCCTATCGGATTCCAACTGGTGGAGGCCTCTGCAGACTATCCATTACCGATGTCACAATAATAGGCTCTCATCATGCACCTGCAACTGATTTATAGCCAGACGGCTGTACATAAAGAAGCCTCTAATGGGATCAAGCCTGCCAGGTGTCAGAGCAGAGAGGATATGAACAATGTACGGTTGAAGAGCAGCCAGTCTGATGACATCAATGATAGCAGTCTCAAAGATCACTTGTGATAATAACAGGAGGGACGAGACTTTCTATCAGTGGAGTTGGGCAGTGTTTGTACGTGGCGTGTTCTTCATAAAATGGACCACAATGCAACTCCGGATGTCATTTTTCAAAATTTCTAAAAGAATGACTTTGATCATGAAAAACAAAAATTAGCACCTTCAGATTTATACAAATGATTATTTGTGGATAATTAGGCCATGATTAGGAATATTGTGTACATTTGGTTGGCTACCAGTGCAAATCAAATGGAGTTGAATTCATTTAAAGTTTTACGTCAAAGTGTTTTCACCAGACATGCTAGAGGACTTGATTTCAAAACCTCTCCCAGCAACAAGGAGAATTCAGTACATTTTTCAACTGATGTATTTTAAAGCACCTAAGAAATAACTTTTAAAAAATATAAGCCATGAAAAAAAAAAGAGCACAAAATTGACGGAAAATGATGAGAAAAGTCTGGCTCTCTTTATTCTCTTACCATTTATAATCACTCTCACTATACCAGCATATCTGCCAGGCCTAATACCTTTCAACCACTGAAAATAATCTTTAAGTTTGGCCACATCAAAAATGTATAATGAGTACAATATGTTAGTTGTGAATGTCATTTTTGACGGAATTTTGATGACGCTCGAGAATTTTGACAAAAATGCATGACATTCGAGAAGGCCGTAAACGCTGTCACATGTAGTGCACGAAGATTCCATGCACGATGTTCATTTTGCCGTTTATTTTGGAGATATTTGGGAGGAAATACTTTGTCTCTTGTTCTCAAAAGCAGAAACATTCAATATTGAGGCAACGTAAAAAACCACATGATCCACAGGGAAAACTGATCAATCAATTCACTGTAACACGGAGCAATACACCTGTTAACCTACACCTCATCCCATATCATCAAAGCCCCATTCCCCACTGTTGTATATCCATACAAATCAACTGCACGTGTACAGTGGTCGTTATTTGTTTATCGTAACTACGGACTTTATGAACACATGTATTTACGTGCACAATTTAGACATTAGCGACGACTGGAAAAGTCGAGAGACAGCTGTGAAAAAAACAACTGAGCAAAAAAACCTGAATACCATGTGACTGGCTCTGGGCTAATCAAGAAACAGATTCTGTAAGAGCAGTGTCATAAAACGTATTCTGTGCAAGTACATGACAGAAACAAAACAGGGACGTGTAACAATGATGAAAATGGAGTCATTGAAATCATACCTTGCTCGAGGGGTACCGACTCCACCACCTCCTGAATCAGCTTCGCTTCGTTGATTCGGAAACCCAACATGAGGGCGCTGCTCCATTCCTTGCGATGCAATGTATCTCGAACCAAGCCGGGGGTAATCTCAAGGGTCAAATCAAAGGGGTCAAAGGTCAAGGTATTGTCCAGTGAGTACATCAGCAAGCCTTCCGTGGTTGTTGCAGCAAACTGACGGCCTGTGAGAGATCAAGATGGAAGTTCTGCCAGCATGATTGTCAGAATTTTAGGTACGCTCTCAGGTACCTCATAAATGTGGTTGGAAATTCACAAACACTGGTCCTGGTCCATCAGTTTAATCAGTAGTTATACTTTATGCAGGAGAAGACTGCCCAAGTTTGGTGTTTAAAATGAGTAACCTTGTATTGATGCAGATTGGGTTTACGGCTTTTTGTGTATTTTAAGACAATGATATAATTACAACAAACTCGGGACGGAACAAACACCTACATTTATTTCGAACTGCAAAATAATTTGTGTAATGATTATGCAAACTCATTTTCGGACATTGTGAATTTCTTTTTCAATTCCATTCAAGGTGGGAAAGTTCACATTGTCTTGAAAGAACTTCACAATGTTGAGTTCCCCGTCACGGTAAAAACTTGAATCTTTGAAATCCCTCCATAGTTACCACATGTGGGGCACTAATCCCTGACAAGAAGACTGTTACCTGTTGGTGAAAATTTGACCCCTGACACGTCGACCTCTGGTTTAAAGAACCTTGAACTCATGTCTCCCTTAGTGACACCAGGTAAACTGACTGCTTGGGAACTGTCCCCTTCTTCCTCAATCAGGGCAATGTTCCCAAACTCTGTCATCTTTCGACGATTCAAAAATTCCTGAAAACAAACAAAACAACGTGAATGGAAACTTTTAAAGATGACGCTGGGACAGAAAAACATGTGGCGTATGCTACCGCATCTACACACATCACATTGGTTGACGACCCCTTCTTTCAGAGAGCAGAAGTGTAATCAAAAAACCTGAACCCAAGCCTCCATGGTTCTCCCTCTCACAGGACGCAACTGGTATCTTCATAGAAAAATCATAACTGCATATTTAATGCCATCAGGTGTGCATTCCAATTGTGCACGGTGTGCAAATGTTACATGCCAACATACGCACCCATCCGCACATCTTTGAAATACAGTACAGCTGATGCATGCCACCAAATTTGATATCCAAAACGCCAAGGCCATCTGTGGGAAACGATTATCATTTGAGACCTATTCTTAAATCTAAATTAGCTCTTCTCAACTAGATGAGCCATTTCTTCTATGGGAATGCCCAAAATGTACACAGAAGAATGGCTTTTAAAGACCAGCAAATGTAAGTATCCTTCATTATTAGGCTCCAGAGTACCCTGACTGACTCATGCTCAGTTATCAGTAGAATCAGCGTCATACCTCCATGGCATCCAGAGACAGATTGCATGACACTTCAAACCTCTTGACAAGCATCTGCTCCCGTATGTTGTAAATACACACATGCTTCGACTTGCCTGCTGCAAGAACACATGTGCCATCAGCTGAATAACACAAAGTGTTGAAGGACCTAAAAATCAAAGAAAGTCAAACACAACTTGAATCTTCACAACGTTCCTCACTTGGCCCAAACCAACAACGAGCAGCAAACATGGCATGCTTACAGGTTGACAAAACTGGGCCTCTATCCCAAACTGTCCTCAGTCTTCCTACAGGTGAAGAATGGAGGACTGTTATGGTTAAGGCTGGGTTCCAAAGTTGCAGCTATGACTGAAATTAATGCATGCACCATGGCCACAGGCTAGGGGCTCATTTTGCTCTCTCTAATGCAGAACTCAAGTGACTTTGACACCAAGACTCAATCTCTGGGTTCCACAATGTTGCTCAAGAATGCAGTAATGAATAAACAACCAAGCCATAGTAAAGTGTTTGCGTGATATCTTACTTGGCTGCCGATGAGGTCTTTGCTGTTACCATATCACCCTCTCTCCTTCCTCCTCCGAGGTCCGTCTTGCCATCAACAGACCCCGTCTGCGAAGCTGTCTGAACGTTCCAGAATGAAATCTGACCATCTAATGTAGCCACGGCTAACTGCTGACCATCAGGGCTGAAGGCTACAGCTAGACCTGTAATACATAACACCAAACAATTTACTGGGAAAGTTTCTTAACAAGAACAAATTTTCACAACTTCTGAAAATCTCATTGTGAAGTTCTAAGGCAGGTAGGCTTTTAACAAAGGATGTCCAACTGGAAAAATTGTACCACCCTGTTGACACTTACCAATGCACAAAATCTGGAACATGCTACCATGTTGAAGTAATAAATATTGAAACATGGTGCTTATTGATTCCGAAAATTTGGGTTAACCCAAAGAGTCAATCCTGTTGTTACAACAATTTTTCACACACCTTGATGACAGATTAAAGGAAATTTGTACACGATATCACACATGACTGGCAGAAGTCAATCTCCACCAAATAATTCCCACACCAACATATTCAGGAATGAGGGTCAGCTGTTCCTACCATCAGTCAAGACCTGTAGAGTCTCTCTAGCAGCTTTGTGCGCGTAAATATTCCAGAGTTTCACGGTCTTGTCCCAGGATGCACTAGCCAGTATGTCTGCCACTGAGCTGAAGCTGAGGCTCGACACTGGTCCTTCATGGCCTGAGAGAACCTACATGTTACGGACAAGTGTCCAAAGTATATCAATGAATAGATATATGTGGGTGTATTGAATTACAGTGCAACAAACGAGCTGGAGGATTTGTCATGAGAGTCCAAGGAGGGCACTTCAAAGTCAGTTCAATAATCAGTCTGTAGTATTTCCCCATATACGGCAAGTTTTGTCCAACTTCAGCATCAAATATCTCAAGTTGGCAACCATGAAGTTTAAATCGCATTGGTACAAACATGTTTTGGAACGTCTAGGTGGTGGGTTTCTTTCAACAGCCAATCACACTTTTGCAAACAGAATTTTTCGTCAGTGTTCTTGTTCCCTATGCTCCAACACTGAAGAAAAGCAACCCGTAACACGGAAACACCCACGATCCGTTGCAGGCCATTAGAACAGGCCTTATGATTGGTCAGATTGCATGAGATTTGTGATGTAATAGTTACTGATTGCTGTACATGTACGTGCAAACCATAGTGGGGAGTATTTTTAACGTTGCCAGGGGAAAGTACTCCTTTACAGCCAACTGAGGACACATATTGCAATATATCTATAATAGCAGTTCAACACACCCATACCTGTTTTACATACAAAGTGTGGGCATTCCTTTGCTCTCCTGTGGTTAAGGAAACTTGAGGAAACTGCTCCTTTTTCTCTAACAAGGATAACTCCTTCCAGCTGGATTTTTGATGATAATTTTCTAGACTGTTCCTCTTCATTTTGCTACGGATAACCTTGACCCCAAAATGCCTCTGAAACTGTTTTTCAGAGAGGGGAAAGCATTGTGTGGACGTGTGCGAGTCCACACTACGCCTTCACACCCTACATTGTGCGGACTTCTTTTGTGCAGAGGTCCACACTATGTATGCCATGCCTGCACACTATGTTTATTCACAGAATAAAACTGCACGGTGAAAAATTGTTCTACAAGATCACTAGTTTAGGTATTAAAGCTAAATACACGTGTACATGCTTGCCTACCTCCAGCAATCGTCCAGTTTGCATAGACCAGACAAAGACTTCAAAGCTATCTTGAGCTCCTGCAGCTACTAACTGCCCGCTGGAATCAACAGCCAGACAGGCAAACTGAGCAGGATGAGGAGATGTGAATGTGCGGAAATTACGGTATCTGAAACACAGAAATGGAGTACAGAAATAACAAATTTCAAAGTCAACCGATCAAGGTAACCACTCAAGTGAAAGTGACAGCTTTGCACCTGGACATAATCATGTTCCTTCGTCAAGGACTATGCCAGCTCTTGGTTCTTCCCCATGGCAACTTTAGAAATGAGCTGCTTAGGCAACAGCGACCACACAGTAAGAATGCTAGACTTACCTGTTTAGATCAAAGGCCCTGACCGTGCCATCTAATGATGATGATACTACTACTTTGCCTGCTTTGCCGCTGAAGGTGACTCCCGCTATAGATGCAGTATGTTCACTGAACGTGACAAAGCAAAGACCACTGCTGGTATTCCATACTTTCACCTGAAATTAATATCAAGAGAATTATGATTACATCAAAAGGCTGGAATGCAGTTGACTAGCAAATGGAAACTGAACGATGGAATGAGTCAAGAATCCCTACCAAAGTACAACTTCTCCCCAGAGAAAAATCTTGTGCAAGATTAATCAAACTGTTTACGGGACTACAAAAGTTTTCATACCCAGAGTCCACAATAACAAGGCTCAAAAGTTTTTCAAAAACTGTCTCCAATAACACTGGTCAACAATTTTTAAGAGTTATCTGCTTCAAAGATTAAATGTGGTGTTTATAGTGGATTTTCATGTGCTGAATTCATATTCAAATTGAATTCAATTAAAATAGCTGATTGGCTAGGGTTTCCAAGATATTTAAGTTCACATTTTTTCGTTCTATGTATATGGTGTACATAGCATAATCAGAAATTATGAACCTTTCCCAAACATTTACACATGTACATTTAGCTACTAACACAATCCATATTCTAAAAAGTTGTGCCAATCTACCACTGTAGGCTTCATTTCCATTCTCAGTGACCCAGAATTAGTCAAGTCTGACTCCGTTTGTTTTTCAACTATTTTGGTCGTGGACCAGTGTAGTGTAGGTTTTCTAAACACTGTGTGACTCAGGGGTTTTCCTGTTGTTTTACAATCCTTCAAACCACAAGGTTCTTATTCGTGTACCCCAAGTAACTGCTGTTGTTATTCTTGCCAACCCAAAGACATTCAGAAACAGAGCTACACATTGGTAGCTAACTGAGTGCAGTTTTCCAGCTAGGATTTCCAGAAGTTCAGTCAGTAGTGTACTGAATGTAAGGTTTCAGGATCCAAAGCCGCTTCATTCGTTTTTTGTTCATTTATGTGAAAACTGATTAAGCCCACCCCAAAGTAAGTTTTCTTTGCGAACTTTTTGGACAGAGCTTGAAAGAAATTCTCAAACTACAATACCCACTGAAAGCAAAAATAAATCAATACTCTTCATCCAAAACAACCCCACAGACAATCAAGAAATTGAGACAACAAATTTCCCGCAGAATTCTAACCTTTCCGTCCTGTCCTCCTGTGACAATGAGCTGACCATCTGGTGAGAAGTCTAGGCAATTCATGTTATTATGATGGCCCTGTTGCTTTAAGACATAGCACTCGCTCTGCCATTCCCAGACCAGCAATTGCCCAAGTCCTGAACAGCCAAACCCAATCCAGTCACCCGGCTGATTGAAACAGACTGCTGCAACACATTGGTTGGATATGCTGGACGACAAAGACAATAGGTGTAGCCACCATGATTCTGGGCCACAGAGCAGAAATCAACCTTGTACGATGCTTACAAATTTCACAGCGAGAAACCTCATCTTTTTTCGGTGCTCAGCGCTTGCCTCTTTGCTGGCACTTTTTAAATACGTACAAATGTTGCGATATTTTCACATATGATATTGATCCAGCTTGAGATCTTACAGCTAATTTCAGAAATGTCTCAGTTTTCTGCACGTGTATGCAACTGCATTGAAACTATGTACAAGTAATAAAGTTCCCTCTCACTGATCATGAAGAGAGAGGCAAAGCAGACCATTTACACCGGGCAAGCGATGCCTATCTGCAGACTAAATACTCAGAATGAAAATCAGTCACGTATGCTCTTCACCATATAGGATTATATAAGCTGTTACCGGATGACAACCCAGTAATGGCTGATACACCGTCCTCTCCCGTTTGTGCACAGAGCCCGTATGCTGGCACTCCAAATGTTCAGAGCCCTCAAAATTTGGTTAGACACTAATGTTGACCAAACTTACCTTTATCCGACAAAAAAAGGTCTTCAGCTGACCTACCTGAGTGAATGTATGAGATTGAATTCAGGCAGTTCATGAAGATGAAATGTGCCCGATTCGAAACCCGTCACCAACGTGTGATTCTTCTTGTGGTAGTCAGCGCAGGTCAACTGTGTGAAATCACCTTCCTTATTGAGGTAATGTCTGCAAAAGAAATAAAACACCAGCATGTGGGCACTACAGTCACATCAGGTAATTCCATGACATAAAATGACTGAATTATTTGAAGTGCATGAACGATGGTCAATGTACCTGCAAAACATGACCCTTTGTGTCTGTCTTCACAAATATCCATGAATGTATAAGTATATATCTCAACAAATATCACAAATTATCTCAACCACGACCCCTGACCCAACGTCCGCACAGAAATGCCATGCGAAGCTAACTATAAACCTGACGAAAGCCCAACTGAACAACCTGCATTGATATGATCTCAAATCTTAACGTGCTTATTCCAAGAGAGGTACACCTAATCCTTCTCAGTCACAGGCTCTGTACATGAATTGAACAAAACTGGCTTCTGGCCAATTTCACTGCAAATGCACAAGGAAGAGGACAGGAACCGGTCCGGATGAACCATTATTAATATCTGATAATAACAGCATTTCAGAATCCTTGCACAGCAGTGATTAAGTGTCTTAAATTAACCACAATATTTTCACAGTTGACGGAGAGTTGATTAGCACAAAATCTTTGGATAAATCATTCTTTCAGTCTCTAAAACAGGTCACACTACAACCCCAATCAGTGAAGTACAGCATGATGTGCTTCATAATCCTAATACATGTATCAGCCTCTATCGTACCTTGCTATCTTCTTGTACAGTGCCTTGCTCCCATCCTCCCCTGCTTTCTCCTTTACTCTTTGTTCAGCTGATAATGATCTTTCAGCTTTGTTGCTACATTTACTGGTTGACGAAGCCAGGGGTTGAAGGTCGTTTAAGTCTGTGTCACATTCCCAGATGACAAGTTCCCCTTGGCGACTAATACTGTACAGCTGATATGAAGAAGTTAAGGTTAGATCAATCGGTCAGATCCTACATTCCTTTGTTAACAGAGGAGGAATAGATTGGATGAGATTTGAAGCTTTTCATGGTGGAAATAGCAAGTGGGCTGGATAGGTTTGCCATAGCACCATGGATGTATCTCTTTTTTGAGTATGTGGGGTTCTGAAAAGAACCGGTGGTACTTAACGTTTTGGACAGTATGCTCTGTCCATCGTCAGGAGTCAGCCAAAGAGATTGACCAGTTCAACAGGCAGCATCCCAACTTAACCATGGAGTTGAAATTAAAGGATACATCTAGTGCATTTTCTTCAAAGAAGACGGCAACCACACAGTCTTTGTGTCCTCCTAGCGTGTAGATAATCAACTGTTCCGTGTCGGACACAGCAAAGACCCGAGTGTGCATGTCCTTGGAGCCAACCGCAAAGACTCTGTCAGAAAGAAAAAAACGATATTTCAGATTACTCCCAAGAAACTGATGAGGTTTGAAGTATGGACTGTGAGAACTGAAGGAGGCAAATACTTCTGCTAACTTCTTGTCCTTGTATCCTTGTCGGGTATTTCCTTTGTATTTGTGAACTAAAAATTGATGTTGAAAAGCAGCTATCAAATCACTCCCATATATTAAACCAGACTAACTCTCCTGGGTTGAAATTTTGACCAAACGTCCTTAACACAATTATACTTCAATTTGCAACAGAAGTGCACAAGGAAAATTGCCCCTTTCTGAGATAATTCCATATATACGTTGCATGAAATTCCTATTGGCTGTCTGCTAGAGCTCTGGTACCCCACAAGGCACCAATAAACACAGGCACACAAATTCCCGATTGCATTTTGCAACAAAAAATTACCCCCACGACGTATCTGCTCCATGTTTATTATCAAGTAACACGCAGATGTTCCCACAACCATGGTGCCACTTTGCTTCTGTTCCGTGGTTGTGAGGAAAAACACAGGTTGAAATATGGAGTTTGTGGGTATCCAAACATTATGGGGACAAATTTTTGTACCTGCGACTCCACCACCACTGTTCTCGACTTTCCAAACAAGGGAAATTGTCTTCTCAGAGCGTTGAAGGTCTACTCGGTCACGCAAACACATAACAGAGACTGGGTCCCAGACCTGTGCAGGCACCCTTGTAGCCATCCTTGCTCATTTCAAATTGTGCCTACTGAGCCCATTACCTGGTTACTAAGCTTCAGTAATTCCACATAATTAACACCGTCCGTTTATATGCGAGCATTGGCACCGAAAGTCTTCACTGTATCATTACATGTACTTTGAGCCAACAAGCCATTCGGTGGACTTTCTGCATCCTCAGGAAGTACATTTACACTGCTTGATGATGCTACCACATGCTAACACTGATTTTACTTTCTAACAAATAATTGTTCTTACTTTTCAAAATAATTTACACATCTGTATATCACATCACTAAAATACCTTGAATCTGATGACCAATCGATGCATGTTGTATCATCATATGCGCCATAGTACGTCCGATGCAGCAATAATGGATTAAATTCTCGTGTACTTCCTGGCGCATGGTAAACCTGGGCAAGCCTCTCCTTTGTCAGAGCAATTTTCCTGTTGGAATGTGAGACAAATAGACCATTTTTCTGGAAAGGGTAGTGGAGGGCTTCATTTCTTAGTCTTTTTCAAGTTGAGCAGCATCAGTAGAGAAGCTGCAAAAGGTTTTCACTTCCTAACTTCTACTTGACGAATTTGGAACAATTTCCAAAAAGAACAGAAGTCTCCCAATACACTACTACATCAAAAATTAGACAATGTGATTCTTATGAACAGAGAAGTTGTTCAAAGTGAATCTCTCGCACTTTACAGCACTTTTGGTTGGAAACACTAAACTATCAAGTCTAAGGAACAGTAAGGACATGTGGAATTGTTTCTGTTACGGTACTCTGAAGTTCCATTGACTATATGAACATGCAAACAAAAACAGCTGATGTTGGATTTAATTCATGGAAAATGAGAACAAAGAAAAACATTTGGTTAATTCTGTGTCACCATTAACTGAGCACAGAGGGTGACTAGGCAACTCCCAAATAACAGATTTCCAAACAGATTACATCACGTATTATGTGAAATCGACAATGCAGTTTTTAGTCACGTGTTTGATAATGTCTACATACTTTCCATCAGGGCTGTATTTAACGGCAGAAACTGGTTGATGGAAGTGAAGATGATGAAGTACCGTCTTGCTGACTAGACTGCATAACATTGCTGTACCTTCTGAGCAGAAAACAACAAAGCCAATACAATTTTACATCACGAGTAAATGTATCACATGAAATCGCCAACAAATCCAATTTTCACTGAAATTCTCCACAGGGCATGGCCGTCAGCTTGTTACACGAATACCCCTACTATCTCAAGTCAATTCACCAGTCTGATTTGATTTTGAAGCAGTTTAGATCGCATTGAAATTGGATATGCCAGTTTATCAAGAGGCCTACTGACACCCTGGCTAGTCAAGAATCTTCATGAATGTATGTAAATACTCCGACAAAAAATCACTAAATCACTGAATCACTGAATAATGAATATTGGTACTCGATGGATTTGAAACTGAAGTATTTTATACGTGCATGCTGGCTTACGTACGTATGTACATTTATGCTAGATTTGCATGTACTGGTACGTTAAGTCAGCCAAAATGTCTCAGAGGAAAGAGTTACATATACGTGTACACGTACTTGTACATCAAAAGCTGTGGCAATTCTCAAGAAAAAGGTCGTCGGAGACATGGCTATCCTTGGTCACACATACATGTACATGTATGTCAGTGATGAGCCAAGTTGAAGTCTTACAAGTAGGCACACAAGATCTTGTGCTTTGTACCCTGTTCACTCGAAGCCCCTAGAAGGGTTGTGTTTCCCTATATACTTATATTTGTATACTTACATGTATAATATATTTATAACATATATATAATATTTCCTTACCTTCATCGACAATGATGCATGTCATGCCATCTGGAGATAGCGCCACACAGCTGATGTTCATCCGTGCCTCAATAGGAAATGTCTCGGACTTGTTGCTAAAAAAAAACAACAACACCACAAACCCCACATTATACAACCATTTTATTCCCCAGGAGTTTTAAAATTCTATTTCATGTTTTCTGTCAAGGGCTTGGTGTCTCATTTGACAAAAAGCCAAGGACTCTAGAGCAAGCTTCTCGTGGGGAAAAAAACTGTGATGTAATCAGAAGGTGGGTGCTGATGAGGGGAACCAGACTATTGCAATCTTCCCCCTTGTGTTCTTGAAATTAGAAACTCCTGAGCCAATCTAAATGATGCAAGAGGAGAAGGGAACCATGAAGGAAGGTCAGCAAGGTGAGACAGTAACCAGACATTTGGATGTGTTCAAACCTACAGCTACAACATGTTAGAACGCAGTTACTTTAAACGCATGTCTTGTGTTCTGAATCTCCCAAACTCCACTGAGACAAAAGAAATATGTGCATGTGCCCGTACACTGGTCTCATAATACCTCCGAGGCAAACCTGGAAAATTACAGGGATGAGATTGGAGGAAAATAAAACATCCAAGAAATAATCACCAGAGGTTTTTAGGGCCCCACAGCACTGCAGCAGTGTAGGGTCTATGGTACAGTGTATACATTTGTGTCTACCTCAAGGCACTCGATCAACCATTTCTTGTGTTCTACATGTAACTCAACTTTTATAAATGTAAAAACACTTTAAATGGTGAACTTAGGATTTTTCAGGTTTTGAAAGAGTTTGTTTGAAAAATTATGAAATCAGGAAAAATGCTTGCAAATCTCACACCTGAATAACTCATTGATAAAATGAACAATTCCTAAAGAAAAAAACCTCTGTTTTACTTTTTAAGGTCAAACTTGGAGATCCTGTTGCCCACAGGACTGATGATGCAATCCCCATCAGAGCTAAAGTTAAGGTTGCCACGGCGATACACTGCTCCAAGCAGATTGGAAAACTGAAAAAGTCAATGGGAAATTAAATTTATCTGACCAAAAATATGCGTAAATGCCGCATAACCACAATCTGAAAATTATTCAACTCAAGCAAATGGCATTCAGAACACACATGCACACGTATTAAAGGTTAACATGCAGTCTCCTGTAGATTTTGATGCTGCTGATCATTTATACATGCAAAAGACAGCCTTCCATCCTCTACAGAGGATTTTCAGTCATGTGATTTTTGACAGCCAGTATTCAATTTACACAGATGTGCATGGAAATAAGCCTTCCGTTAAAGTCTCTATCCATGTACAATCTGGCGAACATGAAGCTGAAAATGGAAACGCAGTGACTTGAAAATGCACACACCTCCATGGGCATGGTATGCTTCCTGAAATGCCTTTGCCCGTCGTATCACATCTGATCTTGCAAAAAACCTCTATTCTCAGTGACAACATACGTGTCCATGTCCAGATACAGTACCTTGTATGAAAACCTCATTCTGCATGAGCTGCTCTTCCGTTGACCAATTCTTCAGTAGAGTCACAGCTGACATAAGACAAATTTGATATCAGTTTCATATTAGCTGCACATTAAAAATCCAGCCCACAAAAGACAAAAACATTTGAGAAATTCTTTTAAATGCTATACATGTACATGTAACTGCCTGTAGATCAATATGTCATCATGATTTGTAAAATCAACAGTGACATGTGAAACACGTTTCAAATTTTTTCATTTGTAAGAAGAGACAATGATATTGACAATGACAATGCCTTATTTCCCATACAGTATATTGTGACAAAAATGACCTACGTTCTTACAGATTGGAGTTCAGATTCTGTCCTGAAAGGATGGAAGGACAAACCTTTCCATTCAGGCATTGTCAGGCCAGAGTTAAAATGAACAATCAACCTGTAATCACTGGCGTTGACACTAATTAATGATTCCTCAAAAATGTAAGCAGACATTGGCTTTTCAATGTCTGTTTACCTACATACATGTGCATGACCGGTACATGTCCAGGCACATGTATGATATGTAGTACCTAATAGGATTGATATGTAGTACCTCGTAGGATTGATATGTAGTGCCTCGTAGGATTGATACGTAGTACCTAATAGGATTGACATGGAGTACCGAATAGGATTTATATGGAGTACCTACATGTACATTAATAGGATTGATATGTAGCACCTAATAGGATCGATATGTAGTACCTCGTAGGATTGATATGTAGTACCTCGTAGGATTGATATGTAGCACCTAATAGGATCGATATGTAGTACCTCGTAGGATTGATATGTAGCACCTAATAGGATCGATATGTAGTACCTCGTAGGATTGATATGTAGTACCTACATTGCAATAGGATTGACATGGAGTACCTACATTAATAGAATTGATATGTAGTACCTAATAGAATCGATATGTAGTACCTAATAGGATTGATGTGTAGAACCTAATAGGATTGATATGGTGGGTGCTCACTCTACGCTGTGCTATATTGCTGTGTGAAGAGATATATGTCTACAGGTTCATCCACACACTTGGAAATGTTGCAATAATACATGAAACATGAAAGCCGACTTAGCACCTGACATTGTTTACAGTCACACAGGACAGTCGCGCAATGAAAATAAGATCCCATCCCCTTCCCTGCCTCCAAAAATGGTTAAACTGATAGATGTATACAGAGTGTCAATCACCAACCCAATGCAAGTGCAGTGCGATGCATACAATGTGTATTTAGATTGTTATGGTCAGGAGAATGAGAAAAGGTGAGCAAAGGTCTCCAGTAAAAAAAAAAAAAGTCCAATAAAAAATATCAGGAACACGGTCTTAAAACCACAGGCTGACAGTGTTGGGCAAAGTTTTATGGATCGGTTTGAATGGCATCTTTGGTGAAAATTTAATTGAGATATGTGAGAAAGTGGGATTTTTGATTACAGTAAATTCACCTTGATAAGCATTGATTTGATCTAACCGGGCTGCATTCAAAAACCCAGTGCTACAAAGTCATAAAAAGTCGTAGGGCTGTCATACGGAGTTGTGACTTACAGCATGGAGGAACTTGGAAGTAGGCACGGCTGACAGGCCTAGACTTGACGAATTCCAAGTCACTACTCCGTGTAACTTGGAGGACTTGTTATTTTCATGGGGTCGTAGCACTATGTGTGTTTTGAATCGACTTTTACAGTAACGCAGTCCAGCAATGCAAACTCCGCTTTTTCAATCATATTTTCCCATGAGACCAACCATGAGGTACATGTACCTATAGCTCTTGACAATGCTGTAACGAGGTTTCAGACCATAAGACTGTCGCAGAGCAAACCCTAGTGCCGCTCCACTCAGACTAAAAATCAAGGAATAACTCAGACGAACAGAAGACCAAACACAAGATCTGCAACACATAAAAATGAACAATTTATTTCAAGTAAGAAATGAACTAAACTAGAATATTTACAGTCCCTTATCGGTCAGTCTAATGGCCCAGTGAGAAAACATTACGAGATTATCCCATAATCAGGGAAAATGCCTCAAGATACTACACAGCACAGAAATTAATACAATATAAATAAGCCACAGCTCTTTTAAGTTAAATTAAATTAAAACAGCCAAAATGTGTTTACGTGAGTTAGTACATAGCTGTCTGCAAGGTTTGTATAAACCTGATACAGTTCTGGAAGTGAAAGCGGAGTTGCATAACTATTGGATCAGTCACCACAAAAGCTTGATTCAAAAAACACACACTGACACAGTGGTATGACCCCGTGAAATTAACAACTCCTCCAAGACACACGTCTGCCTGAAGAAACCTAGACTAAACAGGTTTCTTCAGGCTTGCGAGCTACGTGTACAGTGCTTAGGGCACTTTTGAGGAATCCTTGGTATCATTACAAGAGATACCTGTTTGTATTAAAGTTGGTGTGATGCTTGCTGATGGATGCCTTTCCAAACTATATGATTCAGATTCAGATTACTTCCATTAGTACTGCCCTACCGACGGGGATTGTACATGGGACCCCATTCCTACATGCATAATAAAAGGGAGACCTACATTTTAACTTTTGGATTCACCGAGGTAGATGACTATGACATCATGCTCAATAAAGGTTCATGTTTTGAAAAGAGGGCAGAGTTTTGAGGGAAATTACATGTGTGAGAGTTTCTACACATAACACATTGTGCATGTGGAGTTAAGTCTGCATGGCTGGTTTATCAATAAGAAAGTCACATTTTTTCTCAAAAAGCCTTTTTGCAAATACATGTACTGCATGGTTGATTTTGCACAATTGTAGAAAGGTACTGTTGGAAGGAAAACGGAGCAATGTTTGCACCGTTTTCCTTCACACATCCTTTCTACATGTTCTACAACATGTAATGATGTATCATGCAAAATCTAGCAGTATTTGTGATAAGCATAGGGCTTAGCCTATGTACACTTCAAATTTCCAAAAATAGGGTTAGTAAAGTAAAGAGAGCGTTGCCTTTAATTCTGTGGGAGACAGACCAGTTTTACAAGATTAAAATGACAAAAATGGGGTCCCCATATGGGGCCCGGGCCCACAATCCCCCTATACTGGCTCATATATCTATCCCCCTCCTTTATGATTTTTATCGTTAAAATTTCAGGAATTTTGTCTCTATTTTTGTCGTCCAAGCACTGCCATTCTTTTAGGCCTACTACACTTACTTACTCCCGACTGTTGAATGATGTTTAACTCACCTAATTCCTGATACCTATGCAGATATTCCAACTTTTAAAAAGTTTCTTGACTTCGCTCATGGAGGTAGATGCCTGCAGCAGATACAGAACAGGTCATGCATGTACGTGTACAGAGTACATGTACATGTACATGATGTAGGTTACGTGTACACCCACTACTGAGCGGTCATACTAATTTACTGTCAACACGCAACGGACCATCAACACAGTGTCAACACCTCCAAAACACGTTAAAAATCAAAAGAAGCGGTACTCGACTGTAAAGTGTTTGCCCAAAGGATACTTTAGCTAAACGTCAACAGGTTAGCGTAGTACTGCCTGGTCTACCTTCGAGTTAAAAAAATACGTGTGTGCACATTAAGCGCGCATGTGCTTTCTCACGTGGCTTTCTTCGGGGAGCACGACCAAAAATGTCCGTCTATTTCCATACGTGAACAGTGCCCTCTACGTTCTCAACGCAAACTCGGGTTTTCAACCGTGGCATGGGCCGTTTTCTAATACTCGACTTGGAGTCCATTTTAAGGCTTCAACTGTTTTTTTTTACTTCCTGACTTTGAGGTTGTATGCCCAAAAGTAAGTCTGATAGTTCCACAAAAGATCAAATAAGATGCAAAAGAACCAAACACCACAGTATTTCAATTTAAGTTATACGCTTCCGGCCCGCAATCTGGGATTGGTGTCCTATACGAAGCTGAGACGGAGACGAATTGACTATTGGAAAACGGCCATGGCTAGACTTGAATCAAGTCGGACTTACGTTGCTCTTCCAAGTCAGTCATCCGTCCGCAGGCTATCGTCGCGCTCTGCCGGCAACTGCTCGCATAAGTTATAAGGCGCCCTCATTTGATAGCCTTTATTGTACAACGTGTGTCATAGTACGTCACTAGTGAGTCAGACTTGACGGATAAGCTAATCAGACCCCTCGTCGGTGATATGTAGCTATTCATAAAAATGCATGATCTTGCATGATGCATACGGAATTTCCATCAATCAAAGTAGTCAGACTTGTAGACTCGTTCATTATAATGCAGGTATGAACGACGCAAAAACAAGTTCAGCAATGTATTGGCTGCTTACCACTTGTGAGCCCATTCGCTGCAGTTTAAAAACAGTTGGCAGATTTGTCAAGTCAGGATCGAACTTAACTCATAGCAATAAGTGGACACCATTAGGGCGCGAAGCAAGTGACGGCGCACAGTCTCAATATGTATCCAAAGTAAAAACGAAGACATCACAGGGATCCCGACTTGAGTCAACTCTATGGTATGGCACGTGTCGTGGGCGAAAGTGAACTTAAGGGTACTTATCAAGTTCTCTGAGAGGCACTGAAAGCAAGTGAACTGCGGCTTATACATAAGTTTCAAACATTTCACACACCGTCCCATCGCATTTTTACTCTCATGTCACTCAATGATAGCTGTATGTATAGGTCTCAACTCGTAACGTATCATAAAACTATAGGCCTAGGCCTTGGGAAAAGCTCCAACGGTAGATCACAGATTCATTTTCCACTGAACTGTTGATCAGCAAAACCTTCAACAGAAATTCAGATTACCCAAGTAAAGCTCTCAGGACATATTTGCATAGGTAAATGTGACAAAGGAGGTGAAGTCTTGAGGGACTGTGCCCTAGCATTTTATAAGCAAAACAAAACCGTAGGCTTTTCCTTTAAATCGGAGAGTTCTGTTTACTTATTTCTTCTGCGTCAATTCAAGTGTTTGTCAAGTATTTTATTATTATTATTATTATGACGCCAGGCACAGGCCTATTTAATGAGTTTTTCGTATCCTAAATATCATGAGTGTTATCTCATTATCATGTGACATCATGATCAGACCGTAAGGGTGGTTCTACCATTTTACAAGAACAACCCCCTCGCCCTTTCTTGCACACACCTCACACCACACACCATAAATTTTGTACTCTGGCCACGAGACACAGAATTTGCCCTAAACTAACAGGAGGCTTTCAACGCAGTCCTGAGTACAACTGGGGAATGGTCGATGTATAGACTACGTGAGCTGATTTATTACAATTCACAAGGGCTAATCTACTGGCGGCTTTTCACTGGGAAGAAATGGAAATGCCCATACTTTGTGAAAAAGCCCCATATTTCTCATATTGCTTCACTCAACCAAGCTGTCTGTTATTTCATTTAAACTGCAATTCGTCAACAGTCATTTCCCCATAACGTAATAAGAGCCATCAGAGTAATGGGGAACACAGTCCTTAAAAGTAGGAATAATGGCTGTACAAACTGGAGCTCATCAGTTACAATGTTTATTAACCGACTTGCTTGACAAAGAGATAATAAAGGACCATTATCGAAGTGTGTCAGTCGACTCGTGCACAGTCCTGTCCACGGATCAATTACTGTGATTTATTAGGGACCTTAATTTTACTTTCTACTGATTTTGAATATTCTCTTCATTCTGTTGATGAACGATAATAGAATGGGTGATTTGAAGAACACATCATCGGATGGATGTGGGCAACACTTGAGCGGGACACAAGCGCATATGCATGAAGAAATTTAAGGTATAAGCTATAGGACCAGAGTAGCATAGTTGCACAAAATTTAATATTCGAAAACATGTTCTTTTTTCATGAAAAAAAGGACAAGATTGCACGATAAACAAATCAATAAGACGACAGAAAATCTTAACCATAAAATTAAAGATGAAGCGTATCAGACATTATATACAATAGGTATAAGGAGGTTACATTGCACCAAAGGACAAAATATATGACGTCAACACTAGAATCGAGAACGTTCAACATGCAAAAGCTTCGATTTCTTCAATGGTTGGTCATTCTGTGTACAGTTCTAGTCATGAACTATAACTCCATTGCGAAACGGCAAAACTCAAACAGCGTCCACAGTGAGACTCTACCCTTAGGTATAATGGGTAATTTAAAGATTAGTCTAACATTTATTAAACCTTAACAGTTATTAACTACCTAAAATTATTGTAACAGCGCTTTTCTAGAGAGTTTCTATGCTTGAAAGGTGCACTATTTCGACGTCAATTCGAACGGCAAGTTGCACGTATCGTTTGATCTGTAATTATTTTACCCCGAAGCACTTAATGTTTGTGGCGAAAGGAATATTTTACGGATACATTATTTCTAAAGATGTTTTTAAACAGATTTCGGTATTTTTATCTGCACGCGACACAAAGTAGCTAAAATACCGGCAAGGATAGGCATTTTCACAAAGGAATAAAATGTGCTTGGCCGGTGTTAACCGAGCGTTTAAGACCGGCTCAGGATTTTGTTCTAAATTGTTTTCCCAACACCCCGTCCATTCTATGGTATAAAGAAAGTTATCCAATAGAGTACCGAAGTGTGACGTCACTGTGAACCAGAAAGTGCAGTGCAAACAAATGGAGTACGCGCGTGTGTTGGTTCACGCGCTTGTTCTCGCGCTAATGCCTTTAACATATAATATCGACGAGAAAATAATATCAAATCAGTGATCTGAAATATGTGATTGCCGAGCTTTCGGTAACCGAGTACCTTCTTCATGGCAAGCAGAGTTCATGCGTGCGCGTGACGTATTTAAATCGGTACTCTATAGAATCCCCTTCAATGAACATGGTGCGCGCGTGGCACGTTGCGTGCACTCAGGCTCCTGATCAGATCCGATCATAAAGGGTGCGTTCGATTAGCTTACACGTGTAAGTCTAACTTACAAAAGAGCGTTCGTTTAGCCATCACGTGATCTTTGTGACTGTCCTGGTGTCAGCCACCGCTACCCCAGCTGGCGGGCGGGTCTCTGGAGGCTGCCCAGGTGTAATGACGTCACGGATGGACCGTTCGAGCATGGACATCAAAGAATGAACGTGGCGGGGACTTGACCGTTTTCCCAGCATGCCTTGGAGAATACGCTGCAGCGTTCGATTAGCCTCATTTCGAGGCTTCCCTTGGTGTAACACTGGTGTATTCAGGGAAGCTAATCGAACGCACCCAAACGAAGCGTAACCAAGTGCCAGTGTGTGATTGCACGTAGCGGGTATTATCTTTTCTCGGCGGACATTATCCGATGTTATCCGCTCCAAGCGGAACAAAAGAGGGCTTTTTTTTGCTACTCACCGCATAGGCGCGCCATTAGGCGTGCAAGTATATGGCGCTATTGACCCGGAGCACGCGTAACTAATCAACCTCGTTCCCGTGGGAACGATCTTGCCGCGCCATGTTGGTTCCCAACATACCTTGAGCGATCTAACCCCTGGTTTTGTGTAATTTAAATATCATACAATGGGTGCGTTCGATTAGTTCCCCTGAATACACCAGTGTTACATACACGCAAGGGAAGCCTCAGAATAAGGCTAACCGAACGCTGCAGCGTATTCGCAAAGGCATTCTGGGAAGAAGGTCAAGTCCCCGCCACGTTCCATCATGCCCATGCACGAACAGTCCATCCGTGACGTCATTACACTTGGGCAGCCTCCAGAGACCCGTTCGCTAGCCGGGGTAGTTTTGGCTGACACCAGGGTACGCGCGAGGATCACGTGATGGCTAAACGAACGCTCTCGTGCAAGTTTAACTTACACGTGTAAGCTAATCGAACGCACCCTATTTGGGATATTTAAATTGAGACTTCAGTCAACGTGTTTACGAGCGTCGCAGATTTATGCGTGCGTGACGTGCAAGAGAATACGTGGGCACGAGTGCGCAACTTTTGAAATACGCACGCGTCTGAATTTACATTCATGTACATTCATCCTAAACAGCCAATCAGCGTCATTTTCGTATTCTACGCGCGCACGCAGCCCATGGAGTCGAGGATAATCCGGCATGTATGGTCTTACTGTCTTTCTTTCGCCGATTGGGGGTGCACTTCAGCTCGGGGCGAATAACGTGACGCGTTTTGAGGAATAGGAATAGAAAAACTGTCCCAATATAATGTTGAAGTCGTGATTTAGGAATATAAACACTGCCGTCCCTTGACAGCCTTAGCTTGTATAGTTGGCCGTATTCCCATTAACCAAGTATATGTATTGGTTTCTCTGGTGGCAACACATGCTCTTCTTCAAGCACTATAAACATTATCTGTTCACCATTGAACGGTTACATTGCAGGCTATAACCACAAAGTTTTGACATCGGCTTTTTTGTCGTCAATTCTTTTGACAAAATGAATTCACCCGACAATTTCAAAACAAATAAACAAAAGAGTTAGGAATCAAAAAAAGAAAAATGCCCAGAAATTATAGCCTAATGTAGAGTAACTTTGAAGAGATGGACAACAGGTTGGGTTTAGGAGCTTACGAAAGTCCAAACAAATAGCAATCATCAGGTATGACAAGGAATTCTTTCCATTCTTTTGTGCCTGCGAGGGAAGCATGTTTAGCCGACCACACTTTTTCCGTTGATTGTGAGTGCTAGTTTTGTTGGTGGTTTTTTACAAGACAACAGGATCTACTTTATTTGAATGGCAACTGGGACAAGTGAGCCGAAGGAGTTCTTTTGCGGTTCTCTGGAAAACTTTGTTTCTGAAATAATACACTAAACAGTTGATCCAACTATTTGAAAAACTGGTGAGCTGTATTAGAATTACGATAGCAACGTGAGGGCTGCGGTTATTGATCATACGATAGAACCAACTTATGACAAACGGGGTCCAAGAAATACCAAAAGTCACAGTTAATGCGAAAAAGGTGACGGCTGATTTGGTGTTACGCCGAAAACGCCTCCGATGAATGCTGGAATCTGACAGCTGGGAGGCAATGCAACGTTGATGATGACGAGCTAGGAGGAAGAGTTTTACATAGATAATACATGATGCAACAAATGGTAGAATAATATATATCAATAAGAAGACGCCGTAAGTGAAACTACTGGGATCGCCTGGCGCCAACCAGCACATGTCACTGTCTTCACGGAAAACCACTTCGTAGCCGGTCTGGTACGGTGTAAGACAAGCGCGGGTAATGGGCGGTAAAGCCCAGACCAGAAGGGTCAGTAAAAGCGCGACCCTTTTTGTTACGAGAACCTCATATCGAAGCGGTCTTGATACCGAAAGGTACCTGTCAATGCTCACTACAAACAGACACAGGACTGTGATGGAACCAAACATCGATGCCAATATTTCATGGATATAGCAAAACGGCTTGCTCAGAATCGGCCATGTGTTCAGTGCCGATGAAACGCAGACTGGAGCCACTACAAAGGCCCCGTTCAGCAGGTCAGCTGTGGTAAGAGAAGCCATAAATATCCTGGAGACAGCTGGAACATCTTTGGTACGACGAAGTACCACCAAACAGAAGGAGTTACCAACGATAATCAATAACGCTGTGGTACCAATCAGAGATGCCTTGATAACGTCAAGGGCCCGCTGTATTTGTCCCTCAGGGGCAGTAGTGCTGTTACCATTCCAGTCATGGAATAATTCGGTCGTTACGTTGTCTACCACAGAAAGAGCCATTCTAACATCTGTTTTTCTTACAAAGATATGTTTCGCTTTAAATCGGCCAGAATCCTTGTCCAGAAGCTCACGTACCAATGATAATCAGTTTGTATAGTTTGATGATGCATGTAATCGTAGAGACACACGACAGGTTTGCGAACGCATCACTTCCCCCTAGGAAGTATAAAGCTACAGGTGTGTCTCCTCCATATAAATGTCTGTACAAAAGGTCTATTATTTTCAGTGTTAATAGAGCTTTTGTCAATGAGATAACATGCCGCCCGCTTATGAATGTTTTGATGTTTGCTTCGAAGGACCCCACTTCGATGGTGTTGCGCGTTTCTGAGGGAAAGCGTTTTTCCGCATCGAAGTTGCCTTGACTTACCACAGAAGAATATACCGTTTTGTTCTCAATCAACATTGTTCGAGCACTTCATACGTTTCTCTAACTGTACTGCATGGAGCTGATGGAAAGTCGACATGTTCTCATGGCGATGCAGAGCAGTACTCTGTATCGAGTATGTAAATAAAATCAGGAAGACGTTCATCAGATCCTGAAGTTTGATATTAGCCATCAGTGTTAATGCAATAATTCTGTTGCTTAGTGACTGTCATCGACCTTTAACAAATTGCTCTTCTTGTCACGTTGGCGGGGAGGTGGTTGTTGACACTAACCAATGACAACGGTTTATATCAACAATGTCTTCCCGGATTGGAGTAGATAAAATGCAGAGTATTCTTGGTTTTTCAGTGTTTCCTTTACTGAAATTAAGCATGTACATCAACACCAGGATAAAGCAATTAAACTTAAGAATGGTGTTCATTATGATGTTATTAGTGCTGTCAAAAAGACATGTCACGTTACTTTTTGAGTACAAAGTGTGAGCATCTAGTACTGTACCTGTTCCTACTCACGTTAAATCTCTTTTATGCAAATGTTCTTGTTTTGCGTCAAACGAATTGAAGAAATTATTACCGGTATTGGATGTTTAAAACCACATGGTATTCATAAACTGAGACGCACCATGCATTAGATCTAATTTGGTGAAAATGACTAAAAACCTGTGTAGTATGCATACGGTAATATTTTTCAAAACAAAATGGCAGGCTACGCAGTGCTATAATAATATCTATAGCAAAAAAATTCCCTTTTCTAATTTCAATCTTCTATTTAATCTATAATCAAATTGTCATTATAAGCATTTAATGTATTTAACCAAGCAAACTAAACGAAGACAAGTAAACTATTCGAGATAGGGCCTATCAGTCTTAAGATTGTTTTTTTTGTAAGTTTACAAGTTCTTCAAAAGCATATTTAGCCCATGCGAACAATGTTATCTATCTACAAAAAAATAACCGTAACTGCCTTTACCTGGCAAGACTATATACCCATGCTGACAACAAATTTTTGTTGCCCGTATCAGTCAGTTCTATGATTGACTTGGATGTCTCTCAAAGTGGAAACGTATACCGATCTGTTGCCGGCACTCTTACTTTGACTTAACACTGTTACGCTGCCAAATCATATCATCAACAAAGAACAATATGTACAACTCTCAAAGTCAGGTTTTTAGATAAAAAGGAAATCTAACACGAAAAGTCATGCAAACTAATCATGTAGATTAAAGAAGAAAAATTAAACACATAATCTCAAATACACAGCATTTAAAGGTTGAGGTAATTTAAGGAGAAGGAAAAAATACACTCAAATGCGTATTTCTTCGAGATTACATAACCAACCCCCCCCCACAATTCATTTGCAATGACGTGGTTTCTTAGGTTTCATTAAGTTCAGCATATTCAAAAATGATGCTGGGGAACAAACAAAATGATATCAAAAGCCTTACTCGCGGTCCCAATATCCTCACTTTTATTTCGTGATCTTGTCTTCTTAGGGTTTTGGTGCTAATATTTGATAAGTAAATCTACTGATTACTTTCTTTCCCATCCCATGAAGCATAAAGTAAAATCAGGGGACAAGTTGGCCCCCTGCTGGATACGCCAGTGATTGGATCCATCCATTGGATCCATCGGGGAAACAACTGGGCGTGTAAAAGCATGCTAAATTTGACTTTCAATCGGAAAGGCCCAAAACTTTACAGACGGAAATTCTGAAACAACCCTCCTTCCAAAAACAAAACAAATCAAACAAACCAAAAATCAATCCATACACAAATTTTGGTTGGGATACTCCCCCTGATCCATCATTGCCACTAAACTGGTCCATTTGCACCCTAACTTAAGGGGAAGTCTTTATGAATAATCGTTGCAACGGGAGTTGACATACACTTCAGATCTCCAGACTTACAGTCTATAGTCAAAGATCGCCATCATTTCATCCATCAATGTGTCAAGCTCTCTCGCGTTTCTTCGCTCGTTGGCCTAGTACACAGCATAAGGATAGGCTGCTTTCTTCCAGCCTGTGAGACACAGTTTCTTTTCACTTTTTACTGGACAGATTTAATTTGAAAAACAGCAAGGGTAAACGTTTACGCGTTATGAAACTTACGCACAAAACTTACATGCCATAGTTAACGTAGTAAGTTCCCATGGCTTTCCGACGCCAGCACGTACCCGCTTTACAAAATTCTGCGCGAAATTGCATTTATCCATCTCAGATCGATGGTAAGAACGAGCCTCTTGCTGTTCAGCTGAAACCTAACTTACACAGACATAATTTCGTTGGTACCTAACAAGTATTTACAATCAGATTCATTGCCAGGAGAAGGTTGGATGTCAGGTATCATGTCCAACCTTTAATCGAGTAGCGTACTTTTATTTTTAGAAACTGGTCTCCTCACGACAATAGGGCACTCATTCGAACCCGAGGTCCGTACATCCTTTCCCGTCTTTTAGCAAGAACCTGGAGAAAATGACGATGGGAAAGAATAAACAGAGCCAGTAAGTTGACAAAAAACACTTGCAGCTCCTGGTATAACTATATGCATGTGAATTGCTAATCTGTCCAGTCATTGTGCATTGGGGGTGGGGTGAAGGGGCAGGGGTGCTAAAACATTCGACCAATCTTTCTTGTAGCGACTTTTCTGTCCTAATGTTTAATTTACCTTGACAACCACCAGCACAATGATGAGTAGGATGCAACAGGCTGCCAAGACAGCTACAGCGACGGTCAATCCAGATTCTGCCGCAGAAACCAAAACAAAATTATTAGCTTCACGATTGCAGGCGCTTGCTAAGATTCATATGTGATTGGCCATAACAGAAATAATACATGTAATTATATCGAGCTCTGTACTTGGGGGCCAGTTCCAATTTGAAATGGTCAGCTGGGCCAGGTCCGACAACCACAATTTCTTACCAGAATTGCTGCCTGTTGTATTGTCCGACACTTCTTTGGAGGCTTGTCATTGATGAGAAAAAGAACAAAAGTGTTACTTCATATTGCTTTGGTACTTTTCTTTGATTGAGACACATTAAACCAAACAAATTTGGTCTTTCCGGGCTGCGTAGTCAGTGTTTGAGACACATTGAACACGTTGTAAAGATGAACAAGCAAACTGACCAAAGCAGGATTTTAACCCGTAACCTCTGTAATATCGTACAGGGGCTTTTCCATCTCAGAGAAGCAGCCCCGTGTTGGAGATTCTTCCATTTGTCAGTTTAATTTTACTGGGGATAACAATAAATGTTGTAAACTTTATTTAAATTGAAGATGGAGGTGTATCTGTTGTCTTACATTTATTGGATCTTGGCTTGGAAGCAGGTGGGGCATTTGCTGTAAAATAATACACAGACAAAACATTTGGAATTATGCAGAGCACACGTGGGAGACTACCGCAATTCACCGGCCTATATAGTTTTTTTTAACTTGTTGGTATAAGATGCGTAGTTATACGATCGATACTTACATTTGACCTTGACGTGGGTGCTGTCCATTCTTGTTAATGGTTCTATACCAGCAGATGTTGAAACAACGCAAATATAGTTTCCTGTGTCGTTGATAGTGGCATTGGATATTACAACCTTGAAATGATACCAGATGAAATTGAAGACATTAAAAATAAATCACGCTGAACATCAAGTCGATGAAAATAGCTTGAGCTTTCAAGTGTTTTTTCATAAAGTAATGGGTCCAAAAGCTGTCATAGTCCTACAGTCAACTCAATTAAGAGACCTGCATATACTCTTTAAATGCGAAAGAGTGAAAAACTCACTGTCAAAAAGGATGAGTCCCTCATAAAAACTCTCAAAAAGAGTAAAAAAGTGTACAAAGCACTATAAAGGAGTGACATTTCCATTGTTCTAAGGAGCAAAATAAAGGACAACTCAAAAAAATTGCCATTTACATGGCTCCTCTTTCTGAGTGATTTTCACTCTTTTGGAGTGGTTTTTACTTTTTTAGAGTGGCTTTAACTCTTTGGTGGATTTACAAGGGATGCATTCTTTTGGTGAGTGGTTGGTCACTCTTTTGCCTTCTAGATGCACTGAGGTACCAGTAATGAACCGTGTTAAAAGTGACATTTGGCAGACCTACCCTGTGGTAACCAGTCTCCTCGTTATCCAAATAAAAGCGAGTCCTGTCTTCTGGAAGGGGGTCTGTGAGAGGAGTGTGTAATCAGGTGTTGAATTTGAAGAGAATAGTCACTCTTAGGGATGTTCACGTGACATTTGAACTCGATTGATTCACCCTCCATCACATGACTCGCGGTGCGCAGTCTCACCCTGACATCAGCTACGTATGACAAATTAGGAGAAATAACATGAAAAGAAATTAAATTACTAATCACCGTTTTTGTCGGAGATTATATGCACTGTACGTATCAATGAACAAATGAGTTATTAGGTTAGCTAATTCGTCATACTATAATGATTCCTTTTCGTTTATTGACCACATTTCTGTCTTAACTTGCGGCAGAAAATGAAGTTTCAACTGCCAGTTGGCTGCGTTTTAGGTGATAAGTTTGACAACTGACTGTGGATTAGATGATTCAATAACGAACTAACCTTTGTCACACACCATGCCGTGGAATCGCTCCAAGCAGTGACATCTGCCAACGTCTGAGCAGTAACCTCCTGATACGCACGAACACTGCTCACTGCTATCAAGGCACGGTCCAGAATCGCCAGATCCTTCATCATTACATGCTGTGAAAAAAGCAGAAACACAAGTGGCAACATAAACTTCTTGCAGGTGGGCCTTTAAGTAACTATTATTTTTCTCTATTTTATTTCCATCATTCAAGAACTATTAAGTTCTGCAAAGAGTGGAAAATTTTTCAGCCGTATTTTGTAGACATTTCTAGCGGAAACTAAATTCCTCCAAGAAATGTTTTCAGTAAGTTAATTTTTGAATTCACAATTTTAACAGAAAACCTATGCCTTCCCCAGATTACATCACAGCAACAGCGCCCTCCGTTGTCCAGGAAAGCATGGATAATTGTTAGTGTTTAAAAAAGAAGTTTTTCAAAGAGTTTACTTACAATGAAGAGTAAAAAGTTGTAGAAAAATTGTCTTTAAGAAAAATTCATTGCAGCTCCACTTAAAGTCAGTCCACACATTTTCTAGCCAAGACTTACAAGGTAAAGCACAGATCACAGAGTAAAAATGACCATGACAGGGGACGTCGTTCCAGCCGCCTGTATTGTAGTCCAATGTTACGCAATCCTCACCCCTGCCGTAATCGTTGGGCTCCTTTGGCAGCCAATTCCTTCCAAAAATCCAAATAAATGCAACGCAGTTAATAAATTGTTACTGCATATCTCTGTTCACAAATATAACAGTTCAAGGCGTTAGAGCATGTTGGACTTTTGACAAGTCATTTCATAAACTGATTAATATACATGTATTTATTTCGAATTAGGTTTCGTTTGCAGGCAACCAGTCCTGCAAGATAGACTACGGATGGGATTCCGAGTCACAGGTTGAAGTATGACGACACTGCTCTTTCTGTTTTTGATGTTCTGGGGTTTGGAGTCAATTTAATTAGTATAAATAGATTGACTAATATGATTTTACAACTTAACAAAATAAACTTTTAAGTTACATTTTTGAATTAGTTAAAATCAATACTATTCCTTTGAAAAGTTACAAAACATTCTGAATGTTTTTGCCATCTTCGACAATTACGATCGTGCCCATACACATACGAATGCAGTCTCAAGATTAATCTTTTCGTTCTATAATGTTTAGCTGACTGCGATCATGGGTGATTCTGAGAGTTACAGTCTTTATGTCGTATATCAATCCTGTTTTGGCAGTTGTAAAGATTGTTGTTGTGGGTCATGTCTAGATTAAAGACAGCAATGCGAGAAAACCCAACTTAGCACTTTACATAAAAGACTGTTATTAACTTGAAATTCTTTGGAATTTATTTTGAGAAATAATGCATCTTGCCTGCATGCTTCGTAGACATTTTACGGTATTACAAAAAAGAAAGAAAAACACGAATACAAAAATTTGAAAATGTCGAAAATTCGAATTAAACCATACCTGAATGTTAGTCTGCTTCCATCAATCCATGTAAAGTGCCCTTCATTCCGAGAGTCAGTAAGACCAATCCATATTTTTGGATATACTAACTTGGATAAGAAAGTCTGCAATGAAATCAACAGTGACAAAAATCGCTACGATTAGCAGAAAATCACACAACCGAACCAAATTCAGTTATCGATATAAACTTAAGAAAACACAAACTTATCTGCTATTAAAAACAATCAATAAACCTGAACCTATCAAGCACGCAGAAGATCACCGCATCCCAATCAGCCGCTTTTACCACTCGCCCAGCAGGAACAAATAGTCTGTTTTTAATCGGACGAACGCTATTTTAATCTGGATATTGTGGAGTTTTTTTTTCATCATTTTGCTTTTGATCGCTCATCATCCAAATGGCCTTTGAAGCCATTTTAAGAAGTTTGCTTTGTGACCTGATTTAGTCGACACAACCGGCACTCTGTGGGCTGTGTTAACCCACCTAAGGTATGTAAACACCTTCATCTAACCTCGCACAGTAGGCCTATAACCCAAGCCAATCTAACAAGTTTTACTCGACCCAACCGCACTACATCACTTGCACATTTCTGAAAGGCTTAAAATGTCGCGATTATCCATCATGACATACATTGAGTTCCCCATCATGGATGACAACCAATTGTGCTCCCTCCTCAATCTTTCCACACGCTGCCTTGGCATCCTGCAAGGATCTCCTGACTCCCTCTGCTTTCCAGTAACAGCGATCACGGAAAAATATACCTCCGCTGTGGCAAATGGGATAATTGGCTGCAACAAAGAAGAGCTGTTAATTTTTTAATTTTGCTACCAGGGATCGTACCAATGTATTATAAGGGAAAGTAAGTATAAGCAATTACAGCAAGTCCCATGGGCAATGAACTGCGCGGGGAGGGGCGGGGGGAGGTGCATGGACAATTGAAGAGCCCTTCGATGGGATACCATCAAATCGCTGTTGCGACCCGACCTGAGCTGAAGCGCACCCTCACAATGAACTAAGTTTTCCAACCGGGGTCTTGCTCGGACTCAGCGTGCATGCGAAGATCATTACATTCCAGACTAAAGTCGTAGCGCGTACTTAGCGTCAAATGCGCATAACTCGCGCGCCTATGCGGTGCGAGTGCGTACTAATAAAAGACTGTCAATTCCATTTCAAAACACGTCGTCCTTTGTTCCAGCTCGGAGCAGAAAGACCACTCTCATTTTACTTACAACTTGTATGGGCGGACAAACTTTGCAGAGATATCACCTTTTGGTTGGTCTTGGATTTTATCTTCAATTCCTTCAAAATGGACATTTGTCTCATTGATTTTAAATAGTTTCACTTAGTATTTATTAGTATGTATAATTATTATTATCTGGAGTTCTGATAGCTGCGTGGGCCCTTCTTTAATTTTAAACTTTGTGAATTATTCGTTTCCTTTTGTACCGACGGCAAACCATAGTTTTAGCAGTCACATTTAGGAAAAAAACTTGACTGTGACGTAAACACTGCCCAGACCCTATAACAGCAACTTCCAGTAAACAACGCGACCTAAACAGCTGCTCTACTGACAGGCCTAGACTCAAAAAGTACATTGAATTTATGTTTAGACATGAATTACGGTACCTACTAACTGCCGCAACGTTTGAAGTGCGTCTTGAAAATGCAGCGACTTTTCTCGTTTTCCCGACGAAGAGAGCACAGCCGTGCAAACAAAACCCATTCCATATAAATTTTCCTGGTCGCATATGTTCCTGCCTCAGAGTTGAACATTTAGGACTTCAGCAATTTAAAAGGAAATAAACCTATCTTTGCTGGGCGTACATTTTATGCATACCACAAAACACATTAAAATGTCACTTACGTGTTGACGAACATGCGTAGTGGTGTGTGGATTCACAAGTCTTATCCACCCAAACGCCTCCAACACGAGACATAATCGCACAGTTATGATCAGAAGAGTTCGACGGATGAGGAGCAGCCCAATTACTATGACAAAAATAACACACAAAGTTACTCTTTTCTGTTTGTGTTAAAATAACTTGTCAGTTGAATCCACAGACCCACCACAGAGTTACAATGGCGATTGAGCACTGCAAGTCAAAGCAGCCGCTCTCAACGTTCCATATATCATTGAGGCGCACTATGTCTTTCATGTTGCTTTTTGAAATTGTACACTGGGCTTCGCAAGTCAACCTTAAGTTTTTAAGGTAGCTAGCGATCTATATTACTGATTTTGACTTCACGGGTGGTATAGCTATCTGGTCAGTGAAGATATGCAAAACACCAAGGAAATACTATTGGCCCTTGGGCGGACAGTTGTCTTCAAATCAGTCCGAAGAGGACAAAGTAGCGATTTCTAAACAAGAATGTTTACTATGTATAGGCCCTATCTTAATTTGAAGTAAATTATCACTACACAATTTTCACTGTAACTTATTATGAACTTATTATTGCCAGTATTAGTCTTAATTGCAAGTTCCGCGATGCATTGCTTGATCCGTTTCCTTCTACATGTGCACACCTATGCTTAGAACAACAAGCCAAAGGTTCGAGTCTACATGTTGCAATTTTTTTTTTGGTGGGGAATTTGTAGGTATAGGTTTCTGTAATAGGATAGTAAAGCCCGACATTTACCATTGTTCCTAAGTTCTAAGTGTCCTTAACCTGACTGAGCTTGCAGTTCACCACAACCGTATATGATAATTACCCCTAACCCTCCTAGGAAAAGAAATTACGCTATCCGCCTTGAGCAGAAGCACCCCCTCATCGGTTGAAAAGAGCTGTGTTGCTGGGGAGTATTCATTTTGTTGGTGGCGCGTGACAGCAGCGCGTGCATTTCATACGGAAACCAGCGAAGTGAAGTTCCCGTCAAGGAGCCATCATTGCTGGGAAACTGCGCCCTCTCTTACCCCAGTTCGGCGCTCATTATGACCGCAAAACGTGAACCATGACCAAAAAACATAGACGACGGGACCTTCAAGCGTTTGTTCCTCGTAGCCCACAACATGGACTGGACAGCCAGAGTTTGTAACACTCAAATACATTTATATTGCAATGGTTTCGATCATCAAGTCAGCCGCATTATTGCCAAGAGGACCCGTACCCTGGTGTTTACTTTCCAAACTTTTCGAACCACTGAGCAGCCAATTTCAGACCCTTTTTGTGCCAAGAACTCTGCGAATTTGTCTAATGTTACGACACTTTGCCATTTCCGGCGCAACAAAGCACGAGCCAAGGGTTTTTTTCTATGTAGAATCGGCAGCAAGGGCGACACATTTGGGAAATGATTGACGGGAAGAATATACTTCCAGACGACTAGTCTTGGTTTCAAGACGTTACTGCTTGTTAGCGGACACCGTGCATACTGCACCCCCTAACTACTCATAATAAGACTGTGCACTAGCTCTTAGTGACAGTAAGTAAAAACTAGTTGTGCGAGGGCGCTCTTCAACAGAAATAAAAACAACTATCGATCACTGACGTCTTGGGCTAAGACTACCAGATGACACGATCAATGATACAGTGAGTTAGTAGCTACAATCAGCTTATCAGCTGGATCGTAATCCACTGCCAATCTTCAGTAAGAATGGCATTGGTTGATTGAACGTGACAACCAGGAGAAAATAAATACTCTTCCGTGCTTAAATCAAACAACTTACGTGTAGTTTGGGTACGTGCCATCGACCCAGGACCACTGTCCATCTTCATGGATATCATGTAGACCAATCCACATATCACGATAGGGCAGTGTCGCATGCAACCAGTCCTGAAAGAGGCCAAAAATCCACGTAACATCAACGCAAACAATTTATCTACTTAGACCTACTGATCTCATTTTTGTGTGTGTAGAATAAAGAAATGGGAAATGCTAAAAGATTTCTGTCAAACATCTATTTGGGCCATATGTAACTTAATATGTGCTTGCACTTTTTTCAACTCAAAAGATAGACTAAAATCGGCAGAAGATTAAATGGAAGTGTCCAAGACTATCAGCTCTCCTGAGTTGTAATTCCTCGAGTCAATGACTCGATTCGAGTCACGATTTCTGGAGACTCTACTTGACCCGAGTCCTGAAGGGCGAACTGACTCGGCTCAACTCGAATCCCTCATCAGAAGTGAAAGGTAATAGGACCCGAGTCCTGATAAAGAAAACAGTTTTGCGAGAAATATTTGCACTTCCATGGTGCAGCGTTTTTGTGTTCACATCGTGTTGCCAAATACCGCAGCCTAGACGCATTGTCCTGCCTCCATAGTGGTTCTGTAGCATGTAATGCTAACCTGGACCTGGACTTAAAATGCATTTCTCAATTTGTGGTTTCATAATCGTCTTAGCGATTCATGTTAGCCATACAAATTCAAATACAAGTAGACGAAATTCCACATTACATAACAAGAAACAGATTTGTGTAACGCAATCGGATTTAGGAGTTGTTATGGATTAAATTTTGCCTCCTTCATCAACAACTACTGGCACCATTTTTTGTTTTATGAAGAGTAAGATGAAATATCACCAAACGTAGCAGCCAAGATATGAGTTAGAAAAGGCTAAGGAATCGCCTTTTCTTTTCTGTGTTCAATTATTTGTGACTCAAATGGACTCAAGCTAAATACTTAACTCTGCTCGACGTCTTAGTCGAGTCACAAAATTTAGTGACTCACTGCAACTCTTTCAAACGTCACAATCTATTATCATGAGTTGGTAGCAAATGTGTGTGCAAGTATTTGTAATTGGCGAAGACCTCGACCTAATGACCCTTTACATGATTTTGAGGAGTGGCCAATGTCTCAGTCACCAGTCACTTTGACTGATTTGTTGCATGTATAACAGGAGTGCTCATAACTTTACCATGCATAAGTTTAACGAAAAAAAAATGCCGACCAAAATATTTAATGTTTGCTTTTTGGGAGGGGGGTCAAACCTTTTGACTCAGACCAATCAGATGTCTACTTCTTACCTGTTGTTCTTGATTGGTAATCACAGGCAAATGAACTTCAGAGCCATATTGAAGGCACTGTCTATTTGCGTCCAGCCATTTAGCTGGTTCTGTGCTAAACCAGTAACAATGATCCCGGAACTGGAAACCACCAGGGCAAAATTGGGGATGACTGTCATCTGAGAAAGAGGTTGATCAATAGATAATAGGACAGAAAGTCAGCTGCGTAGGAGGAAGTGGGGCCATGCTGCCCACACATTCCATTGGATGCAATTCAAACAATTTGGAAAAACTAGCACTTAGGTCCTCTCACCTTCCATAAACTTTTGTAGATGCAAACAATTGATTATTGGCTTTTTTGATGAACATGGTTATGTGACAAAGATTGAAAAATTTGCGGTTGAATCATGTGAAATCTCTTTTGTGAACAAGTCAGGTTCTGACGAGAACCTTTTGTCTGGGCGTATCGGAAAGTATGATCTGCTCATTGGCAGGTGATAGAGTGGAAAACATACTCTCCAAAAGAATGAGACCCTGAAACGCACCCAAAAGAGTGAAAACAACTCTAAAATGACTGAAAACAATTCTTGAAGATTGAAAATAACTCCAAGAGATGAGCCATTTAGTAACAGCTCTCTTTCGAATTGTTAATAGGGTTCCCTGTAGGAGTGGAAATTGCACTCATTTGAAGTATAATTCAGAGAGTAATGTCTGTCATAGTCTCCAATCTTGCAGGCTGATTGGTTCTGAGGGACTCGGTTGACGTCCTGCAGATTTGACTTTGAATTTGTCACGCAAGGAATACCAAAAATGAAGCTGGTTCAGTCTCTTTCTTTGTACTTACTGTGGGCGTTTCAAACTGTTTGATACTGCAAGTAATCCAGGCATTTTCCTCATCATTGCCTTGGTAGGAGGCTTGGGGAAAATTGTGACGACATGCATAATCATTTACTATCCATTTTATTTTAATAAATAACAACTGAACCAGCCAGTTTATCAGTTATAAAAAGGGGTCGTATTTGATGGACTTACCAGACTGGCAGTAAACCTCCAGAATACAGGAAGCTAGCAAAGCTAAGAAGATCCATGAACTTAACGCAGTCATGCTTCAGGTCAACAGCTACCAGGGAAAGAGGACCAATGGAACGGAAGGAAAAACCTCATTTGTAAGACCGGATACAAAATTGTAAAGATCTGAATAATTATAAATAAACTACAGAAACATCGGTGAGAGTGAGAACCGAAAGTGATTTTATGATTAATGTCGACTGAGAAAATCCTTTCTCGTTAGAGTTTCAATTAGAGTGTATTTTGAAACTTGGTTTGAGCTCATGGTGGGCACAACCACTTTGCATTGATGTCATTTCGGCGAGAATGTTCCCTCATGCTTTGTGAAAAGCCAGAAATCATTTGGAGTCAGCTATCAATTGAAGATTGAGATTGTACATAATCATGTGACAGGTCAATTCCACTCTTGATTGGCAACGTTTTTTTCAAGCAGAGATATTTAATTTTCTGTAGAATGACAGGACGAGCAACGAATAATAAAAACGATGCTCGAAATAAATGTGTGCACCTGTCTACATTTTGTTCAAAATATTCACGTGGTAGGTACTGACTAAATTTTCAAAGAGAAAAATGAGAAAAACAAAGCAAAAAATGCAAAGAACGTTTGGTCAATTAGGACCTAAACCCTTTTTCAGAAATATCCTGCCCTTTGCATTCTGTACATGTATATTGTTACTATTAATCCAGGGTATGAAGAGGATACTTGTTTCCTTAATGGACCAAACAGGAAATGCCATCCACACTACGAACCCTAGCAATATGTCGACACCCGTACAATACGGGCGTTTCACAATAGTGCGCCACCAAGTGTTTGCAACGCGTTGGTTAATCACAATGCGCGAAATCTGTCTACCCAATACGCGGTTGCAAAGGGTCGACAAATTTCGCGCTTTGTGATTGGCCAACGCGTTGTAAACTCTTGGTGGCGCACTATTGTGAATCGCCCATGTTGCCCGAGTTCAAGCAAAATCTCGGGCAAAGGTTGGACTATTTCATGATTTAGCCGCTGTGTTCTGAATTTGTACAGATAATTGTGGCTGGTTTATTTGTGTACATGGAAGAGGAGTCCAGAGTAGTTAGGGTCTATTTCTATGTGCAGTGATAAAGATTCTACTTATGAAGAAAATACTTTTTCTGACGTTTAATTAACAATTATTTTGTCATATAGTAGATACACTGTTATTACAAACAGGACTGCGTCGACACAAAATGTTCGTCATAGCGATCGTTTGGTATAGGTTTTCAGTCACGGATGCACTCTGCCATTCAAACGTGTGCCGCCGCCAACCATTTTGGGTCAACACTTACACGCAAGAAATAAAGTAAAAAGTATAAATAGTTGAAATTGTAAAATGTATGCTCATTTCCTTTCATGTTCCACCTCTCGGGTAGCCCTCACTGAGAGTAACTCGCGAAACGAAATCAAGTTTTCCTTGGGTCATGCATCTCTTAAAATTTGCATGTGATATGCAGCACGAACGGTTACATTGGTTTCTGTTTTTTAGGTCACCCCCGGCTTTACAGGGATTATTATTCAAGGTTTTCTGCACCCGAGTCGCTAGTGTTGCATATACATATACATACTCCATGACCGGTCTACGTTAATTTACCGAACAAGGGTGGGCATGAATAAAGGTCCTCTCGGATGCTAGATGGAGCTAATGTACCGATTAATGGCCAGGGACATAAAATGCAGCCCAAATTCTGTAAAACACACCTCAGATAGGTTTAAAGTCACCGATTCGTGCCAAAACCATTGTTTTAGGTTTGTCGTTTTTAGAATATTACTTTGTCTTGTTTTGGTTAATTGTGTGTTGATGTTGTAACTCTTGTAATCTTAAAATGTGTAAAACTCTCAGTAATTCAGCCTCTGGCTGCTATTGAGTTTTTAATAATAAACCAAACCAAAACCACGAGGGGAGAGGAAGTAAGGAGAAACCGTAAGGTAGACATTTGAATACTTGTAATTAAGTTAAGAAGCTCAGGAGAAGTTCCAGATTATCATTAACGGCATGCTGACTAATGGTGTTGTAGGTTCTTCATCAACTGTGTGTTAGAGGTTGATGGAAAAAGGACTGGCCAGCAGAGTAACAGCTGACAAACCATTGTTGAGGTAGACCAACAAAGTGAAACATCTGAATTTTACGAAGAAACACAAGCATTGGACAAAGATGGATCAGTATAAAGTCTCCTTGACTGATGAATCCAAGTTATTACAGTTTGGAACCAAACAGCGAGTGTGAGTGCTCAGACGGAAGGGTGAAAGGTACAGTAATGAATATCTTGTAGCAACTGTAAAGCACAGTATACTAATATATTATTCGGCGCTCTGCCAACAATCACCTTTTAAAAAATTAATAAAGGTGAAAAATGTAAGCCAGAGCATTGAATATCAATTTCTTCAGGAATGTCAAGTGTCCCAATAATTTTGCTCATGTATTCAAGCGCTAACGTTGAAAATAAAAACGTTTCGTGGATATATACCGTATTGATTGCCATTTCATCACAAAGAACCAAAGTACCTAAAATAAACCGTATTCATATAATTTTGCACATGCACCACTCGAAAATTCTCTATTTCTAGACATGCAAAGTTAACACTAATTTAATTGTGTAATAGAGATATCTGTACTTCGGAATAAGATGTCAAATTTTCATGCCACACACGTGCTCAGTTGTCGCCCTTCCACGTGGTCGCTCTGGACAAATCATGGCGTCTTACAATGTGACTTCACCGCTCCATACAAACCACGTGTTGCAGGTCTAGCACGTTCAACAGTTTCACATGAAGCCTATTGTTATTATTACGTTTTCCATAAAATAATGCTTAGGCCTAGGACTAGAATTCCTCGTACAGTATTTCGAATTTGACGAAAACAGATTCTATATCAGATTCTGAAAACAACAAATCGAGATCAGTTGTATGTTTTTGCCCGGCTGATCGGTCTCGAGGCTCTAGACAGTCTGAATCTAGCTCGAAAGGAGTTCAGTAAGTCTGAACACGCTGTTAACCGGCACTTTAACTGAGCTATCACGGTAAGTCTACCCGAAACTCATTTAGGTCTGAACTTCTTCATTTCCATAAGCCTACATGCATTCTAATGTAGAATCAGAAGAGTGGGTAGCCATCCTACATTAATAATCTCTGTTCCTGAGGAAAGTGTAACAAAATATAAATCCTGGACTTAGTAGTGCTGCAACATACCAGTACCTTGGCTTGAACTGGAGCCACTCTGTGATGTCAGCATACGTCGTTCGTTGTCTACTGGCTTACAACTAATGATTTCAAGGAAGTGCTATTGCTTTTGTAACCTTGGTGGAGACTCGTGCCTGAAATCTGTACCAGTCAATTACGGATATCCCCGAGTGACACCGGATGCTTGGCATAAATGGCGAACTTCCAGTGTAAGCCATTTTGGCAGTGTTTACGTGGTGTACCAGGCAACTATGGTCTCAGTCAGACTCCAACAATGATGATCACTATCACTTCCTACTGAAGGCATCGCTGTCAGAATAAAACACTCAAGTACTGTCACAGAACGCTCTTAAACTCTTGACACCATGATATCTGACCGCCAAACTCGATTTCACAACTGTATCTCTTGTCGAGTAAACGTACACTCTATTATTTCCTGATAATCTTGTATTTAAGCTGCGGCAACTGAACTGGGACCCGTCCAACACCACGCGTATACAAAACCAACCTGTCTAGAAGCTTTTACTAGACCAGACTATAAACATATAGTATATGAGCAAGGGGTCAAAAAAGGAGTTCATATAAAAACATACAAAATTATACAAATACAGTATGGTTTGCGGGGAAATAGTGAATTCGCCGAGGGAGATCATCCAACACCGAGGGATCATTAGTTTCAACTATTTCCCGAAAAAACATGTTGTATTTGTTTTATTATATCTCATAAACATTCATGAGGAAGCGCCAGTATTTCGTTAGTCCATTCCAGCATATTTTTGTGTGATCCCTCAGTGTTTTGTATATTTACAAAACAGAAATTTTTATCAAAGAAAACAACACAACAAAAATTAGCCTGATGCCATTTTAACTTCAATATTCAAATGAAAACTGAATTTATTTTTTCAAGTTGAAAATGTATCAACTTAAAATAAAACAAATGCTTGCTACATTTAATTGTGGTAAATGTTTACATTACAGTTGTGGAATGTCAAATTAGTACCGGGTAGTTGAGGCAGTCGTTTAATTGTCGCGAGAGGCCAATATTTTGTCAAAATTTGACTGGTTGCAGTATTTCCGGTAGGCAAGTCTGCCAGGTTTTCTTTCTCCTGCAAGTTTGTCCAGAGTTCAAAATTTGCAGAATGTTCTTTGGAGAACTTGGCCGCAGAACTCTAGAAGTAGGACCATCACAGGAGCTTGTTGACGGCTGGTCATGTCCTGATCGAGATGGCAAGTCAGGCTGCCCGTCTGTGTTTTCTCCATATGTGTTGTTTCAAATGGTGTGACTCATTTTTTCTTCTTTTTGTCCTTTCCTGTGCGGCTGTAATTGCGGATGCTGGATTCCGACCTGTGACCTGTATAACGCTCATGATGTGTCGAGCCTCAAATCCTGCGTGATCAAGCACCACCGGACGCCATTTTGACAGACTGGTGACACTGTCCTCACTTTTCCGAGTACACACGTTGCGCGCATGAGTTGGTGGCAAAAAGATCGTGCTGCACTTGGACATCGCTAAGGAGTGTGATTGTTCCCTCCGTCAGTTCCCTGCTTTTTGTGCGCCACGCGCGCGTATGAGACGAGAGGAGATAGTAACACTATCACATCGGTGAGTTCCTGGAAGGGACCAATGAAATGTCGCAGCTGCCTCATGAATATTTACGAGGTATAGCAAAAACTACTCGGTACTCAGTTACCAATCTCACTGGTACGGAAGTGAATGCGTCAAGCGCATAATAACGTGTGTAAAAGGTATTGGTGTGAAAACCAGAGCATGATCCAACACGCGCACGTTCCATTCGTCTGCACTACGCCTCCTGGTTCGAAAAGACGTCGCACTTCGGTACTCTATCCGCCCTGAGTTAAAGTGCATTCTCATCGGCAAAAGAAAGACAGGCTGGTACAAAGTTTTCTAACCTGGCTCTTACATGTCTTGAGGCCGGTTCATACTTCAGGCAAATGCGAAAGCGAAGCGAATTTGACGTCACGACAACTATCCGGAAATTTCGCTTGATTTGAAATGTGTTCGGCTTTTGCGATGCGAATATTTGAATTGACATTACAAATTTGCGTTCACCAAAAGTATGAACCGGCCCCTAGGCGTGCACAAGAAGACCATGCATACCAGAATAAATTCAGTGCTCGTACTCAGCGTGCTCCACGTCGAACGCGCATAAACTCGCGCGCATAAACTCGCGCGCCTATGTGGTGAGTTCTTACCAAAGGACTCTCAATTTCATTTAAAGACACGCCCGTTCCGAGCGGATACCATCCCAACCTGGAAAGTACGTCGACTGTAGTGTTGGACACGGGGAGGTTTGACGTGATTGGCCCAAAGCTTCTTGACGTAACCCAGACAGTGTATGACTTGAAACAAACTGCCTTTGGACGCCTGACTTATGAACAACATACTGATAGCTGGTTTATGTAACGTTCCGTCACCCTTAAAAAGAATCAATACACTAGCGGTACCAGAGGGTTGTGTTGACGAGAGGACTGTGTGACTAGACTTCGCCCGCAGTAGTTAGTCCCACAATAGAGTCTGAAAGTAAAAGTCACGCAGCGAACTTCAGGAACCCTCACGCGGTCCATCTATGGAGCCTTTACAAGGGGCCGTCATATCACGTTCAGTCATTTTGGGAAGAACCGTTACTAACTGAAACCCCATAAAACACTCATGTTGGAATTTGTATCTTTTTTTCTTCTTCAAGCAATATTTAGAAAAAGTCACCTGGTGATGGGTAAAAAAATGAATTTCATTAACGACCTTTTACTTCCGGCAATATCGTTCGTATAGGTCTCCTTATTCATGCACGTTTATGTTTCACTCTCTGTGCTTTACGTGAAACAAGACCGCAACGTTGCAAAGATTTCCCTACCTGCACTCGATAGGTTCCATGTGTAGTTGAGTTGACTGGACTGGTCCCTGTTCCTATTATATAAGGACCGGTAGCTAGCTGCGGTTTAACGTGTCCAATTAACCCTGGCAATTTGGATGCTGAATATTTAAGTTTTTGTCAGACCAATTACGTTGCAGCGAGAAACAAAAAACACAAGGACCTATCCTTGGTACGCCTCTGTCGGTCAGAGTATGGCAATATATTTTTCAATGATTTTCATCGATAAATCATTTTACGGCAACTTATGTCAAATCAGTGGTTATCGTGTTAAATTTTGGTTATGTAAACAATTTATGATGAATTTTTTTCGGTGACAAAGATGAAAAGGCAAAATATTACATTAGCTCCTGTTTCATTTGTGTTTGAGCGGACATCGTTTCCTCCTTTACATACACTCTGCAGGGTTCTGCCGGATCAATTACCCTCTACCAATCCCTACGTTCAAGGGTCCAGTCCACTAATTCAAGCCCCATTGAAAAC